GTATATAGATTATGAATAATGACATTTTACAAGCACCTCAAATACAGTTGATAAATGGGCCATGTATGGTATGAAGTCAACTAAAAATATCAACATTAATATCAACAGTCTATAGTTTAACCTTAACAAATAAATAATATATTTATTACTACAAATGACAAAAAAAATGAAAAATTACTCATCACAATTATAATTTAAAATGTTAACATTTTCATAACAGCATATCAAAAAAGAAACTTTCACAAATAATGTGAAAAAATAGCAAACACAAACACCTACATAAGTGAAAAATTATCATGATTACTCACGTCTGCATGTATCTTTTGTGGCATAGAAACCAGTAAAACAACTGCACTCATAATTGCATTCCACAGCTTCATTTATAATGCAAATTCCAATTCCATTCATACAAGGATTGTTCAAGCATGGATTAGCTAAAAGAAAACAATCAAAATAAGATACCATGTGAACATAATTGGAGCTATAGTAAAACTTACATTACTTTATTCCAAAATCCATAGAATCTAAATAATCTTTTGAGTTTAGATCTTATTATATTGTTACACTTTATTGTCATTCACATTGTGATTGAGATAGTTTCCATGACAGCTACTCAGTTTAGTGGTAATACAGATAAAAGGAACCAAAAATAAACATAATACAAACTCTTACAAACAAAAGTGACAAACTCTAATCAAGTCTTATATAGGTATGCCATATAAGTATATATAATTATGTAGTAGTACTGTACATATAGATAGAAAATTATGAAAACAGCGGTGCAATTGGTCATGCTATGCTAACAGCCAAGTGTCTTTAGGTTTACTTAATTCACTTAGTTTCTTTCCATATGTATTTTGTGTTTTGTTCTTGGACATTGTTTTCATTTTCTGAATAAATCGATAAGTGCTGCATACACAACTGATCATTAAACTGCAAAGATACATTATAGATAAATAAGCTTACTTACGCTTGCAAGTATTCTCAAAGTTGTAGAAACCATCATAACATTGGCATATGCGCTCGATGCCAGAATCAGTTTTTATCCTATCGCATGTACCATTCCCACACAGATTATTAAAACACGGATCAACTAAAGAAAAGTGTTATATATTATTTCATTATTATTTTCTGGTATAGATAAAATATAAATTCTACTTCAAGCACTCTTACAACATTTGAAAGTTTTTATTCCTGGATCTGCCAAGTGGCAGATCCAGGAATTTAAAAACTAGAGGGGGTCCCACAGATGGATTTTAAAAGGTAGAGGATCTATACCACGTTGGGGCTGTGGAAAAAAAATTTATGATTATGGCATCTCTATGGTGGGAAATGGCACTCTCAAAATTTTTCCTCCATTTTTAAAATAATCTCCCTTGAATCTGCCACTGCAACAATTATTATTTGTATAAATATTTCACAAAAGCAATATCAGAAGAAATTTCTTTGAACAATGTTATGCGCATAGAGGACTCCATAATGTGCTCTGTAAGTTGACCATTATTATATTATTATCATTATTATTACGTGA